CTCTGAACTGAACGACAGATCTGTTGTCGTCTCTGCCCCTTCCTCTCTCTCATCCTCTTCATCTGGCTCTTCCTCCTCTTCCTCGTGTGCTTCCTGTCCATCTTTTTCGTCAGGCTCAGTCATCTTATCCATCTGCTGCTGTCTTCTTTCCTGCAGCTTGCTGTGGTTTTCTATCACCTTATTGGCTGTCTCCATGACAACCTCAATGTTGAGATTTTGGGCTGCCATAGCGAGAAGTTCATCATCATCATCTCCCACGTCCCAGGCATCACTGGTGATGCTCTCAAACTCTTGGAAGGTGGTGGCTTTCTTTGGTTTTCCTGGCGTAGTGGTAGACGGAGGCTTGTTTCCTGCTTTCATCAGACTGCAACACAAAATTTAGACTTTTGTTTATACATGAATCAAACTCACACAGAATGATGGTGTTCCACAGATATTTATAATAATATGTGGTCAAATCATAAAGAACAGGGAAATTGTTCTGGCTTCTCTGACTCGCATTGTTAGTCACCAAGTCACTGTTGACTTACAAAAATAATTTGTTTCTCAACACTGTAAAAAAAAAAAAAAAAAACGACTACATATTTTTTTTAATGTTTATGAAACCTTTTCAGTTTTAAAAACTAAAAAATTAAATTTTCTTCAAACTACAAACCCATGTCAGACCAACAGAATTGCCCCAAATAATGTCCCAACGAGTCAAAAACAAAGAATTTCATATTCCTGAAATGTTAAGTCTTTGTGAGTTCCCAGCATGCATTGCAGCATGAATAAATTATGTAGTTACTGTTATAGGATTAATTTTTGCTGTTTGATGACTTTCTCGTTATTGTTAGTTATCTGTTGTGTTGTGATGTAAAGAGCTCATCATTTTACATTTGTTGAGTGTCACCATTCTTGAGGTTAGTGCATCAAGTGTTGAGGCCTAAAGTATGTTCAGCAATGTACAACTATATCTTACATTGCTTTGCTTTGTAAGGATGATTGTTATTCTCTTTACAAATATAGCATGATTCACTTAACACATTAAGTGCCCTATAAGACTATATTACATTTGACTATCATAAGAAATTAATTTACTGAGTTAATAAAAGAAAGTTTACTGAACAAGAAATATTGTGTTGTCCTCGTGAATATATTGGCTGAATGAAGCATTTTAGTGAACAAACCAATTCAAATTGACATTAGTTGTACAATTAGGCCGCTGAAAATGCCCAGCTGTGAGCGCAGGTTTTTTTTTTTTTTCTTTCTTTTTTTTTTTTTTTCCAGTTGAGGTTGAGGTGTGGTTGCAATGATACGGAATATTCGCTGAAGTAATATGACAGATGCATCGCAAATTAAATGTTTCGTAGTACAAGCAGGTGTGACGGTTGGTCTGTATTAGTCCCGCCCCTCCTCCACTGTGATTGGTAGCTGACTAAAAGTGACAGTGATGAGCGCTGCGTTTTACCCAAAGTTGAACATTCTTCAACTCTCGGCGGCGAGAAAAAAACGCCCAAGCGCTCAGCATGAAAAAGACGCTCGGCACGCTCCTGGCATTTTAAAAAACGTGGCGCTCCCATTGAAAACAACTGAAAAAATACACTAGCCTCGGGAAAAAATGCTTTGGTGGACATGGGGCCTTATTAAAACATGGGACCTTTGACCGCATCAAGTTGCCTTGAAATTGTACGTTTTCTCAACAATTAATTTTTTTACAGTTAACTTGGGGTGTCACTTAAAATGGTCACAGCTGCTCATGCTGCCACATACTGCTAACTCGCATTAAAATCGGATGATTTTCCAGTCGCTTTGTCATCACAAATTGCTGTCAGCACCATTTTAGATTAAAGTCGGCATGAAACGGAAGTAGTGATTGTAATTTTTTCTCTACTGTGACGTCTATCCGAGTGAAAAGGCATCTGAAATGAGAGGGCGGGACTTGATTTCGTCCTTCGGGAACTGATTGGATCGTTGGAAGTTGGGGCGTTGCTAACAAAATGGAAGCAGATCTGAATGCCAGTTTGCAGTTAGTTGTGGGGGGATTTCTCTCCACTGTATTCACCACCGACTCCCTAGCATGAAGAAATTTATTTGAGGAAGACGACGACGTGGACGATCAACGGCACAAAACATACCTAACAGTGCGCGTGCGCACGCGAGAGAGAGAGAGACTGCCTGAATATCCATAAAACAAATAGTTTGCGATGTCCTAAGAGTAATGTTGTGGTAATATCCTCACATCCTTTCAATTTGTAAGGGTAGTGCCCCCAAAAAACACTCGCGACGGCGAGGCGGCTGTGTCGGATTGTGCAGTCGAGCGCAGTTGCTCTCCACCGACTGCGCTGATCAAAAGCATGATGGGAAACGACTGACTGACGACACAGCTTAATGCTCATTGGTTCAGTCAACCGTGATGTTGCGTTCTCTTCTAAAATATTTTATTTTTTTATCTGATTTCATGCGTTTATGTATTTAAATTATGCATGAATATTCCCGAACACTATGATCTCTGTGTGAGATATGTGATTGTGGTCATATTTCTATAAAACTCTAAAATACATGTTTGTATTAAAGTAAAAATGGATGATAAATACACCTTTCGTATGGAATTAAATAGCAAGCACTTTGAGTGTCTTGTATCATATTTATTTTCATATAAAAGCAACAGAACTGAAATTATAGCATGTTTATTAGCAACACAGCACGTGAGTGTGAATAACGCGATATCTGCCTTTGATCTCGTTGGTATCTGTTCCACTTCGAGAGGTCAGAACTGTCCGTCTTGACTGCGCTTATTTCACTCCTCCCCTCGCTGCAGCCGCCTGCTCTCGCCTACATTTCACGCGAGGCGATGCGCATCTCAAACAAGCCTACAGATTTCTATAAAGTAAAGCATCAGCTTCAGTTTTTCCCCCCTGTTGTTTATCCCAGCGTTTACCACTCACGTCACTAGCTCCGCCCTTGCGCCATAGCTCGTGACCAGAAGAGTAGAGGAGTCGTTTTGAGGGGGAGGGGAGGTTAACGGTTTTGATTAAAGATTACGAGGGCACATTTTAAATGATTTATAATAAACACTACAGTATTCCATTAAAAAAATAAGAATTTTCCATTTTGATTTCACGGTGACTTTAAATAATATGTAGAATCATAAAACGATTAATTATTATTTGGGCACATTTTAAATGATTTATAATAAACACTACAGTATTCCATTCAAAAAATAAGAATTTTCCATTTTGATTTCACGGTGACTTTAAATAATATGTAGAATCATAAAACGATTAATTATTATTGAAAAAGTACAACTAATAGATAAAGTAAGTTACAAAAGAAACAGCAAGGTGTTTGTATCATATAAATTCAAATCTTTCTTTTTTCTGATTAAATTCATTCACAAAATAAAGAGGAAGCATCGACCATATTTTTAACTTACATTAAAGGGGTTCATTTTAAATTTGAAAGGAAATGAGATACAATGCTTAATGCGTTCTACTCAATTTGATGTTGTATTCTCATTATAGCCAGCTAACATAAAAACCAGATTCCCTCTAACAGGGAGCCTCTTAAGTATCTCAATCCAAAAACTACAAAGGTGGCTGCTTTTGGTCTAGTTCAAGCATGCGGTTTCATGCGGCACTTCAATGGGCAGGGTTTGCCGATTCATTGTAGTAACATCTATGGCTGTCACAAAGAAAATAGCAACAAGTGTGAACTGACAAGTATGATAACTACATTTTAATTTTATGATTACGCAAATTCAACATCAAAATCAACTCTATTCATATTCTACAATCACGTTTATGTTTTTATTGGGAATGATTAATCTATGCATATTATAGAAAAGAACAACTTGTTCTTCCTCTGCAATGACTTTCTTTTTAAGGTTTCATTTTGCTTTTCAAGATCTAATCAATTCCCCACGAAAAAGCCATGTCATGCTCTTCCTATTATTTTATTAAACGTGCATGTAAACTCATTTTACTTTCTTAATTTCATTTATTTTTAAGTGAAATAGAAAATGCAACAGCATCAACTATATATAAACACATGTGTGTGTTTGTATAGATGTTGCTGTTGAATTGTCTTTATCACACTGAAATTAAGGAAGTAAAATGTGTTGCAAACAAAATGGACTTTAAAAAAAAATGAACGCAAAAGCACACAAAAGAAAACATATCCTCTTCTATCTTTGAACATATTCTTTTCAGCAAAACTAAACCTGATAAAATACATAGTACACACACTGTATAAGCTATTAATTAAAATTACAGTTTAAATTTTGGAGAATACAGTGCCTGCAAAACAACAGAATACAGTTCAAACAACCATCCAGACATTCAATCACCAAAACCACAGAAAATAAATAAATAAATAAAAATGTTGTCCATTAAAATGCATAACTGCACTTACTTGGCATGTAGCAAAGGGTCAAATGGGGGATGTTGGGCTCCATAAACATGCTGGATACTGTGAAGAAGAAAAAGTGTTAAGATGGACGTTTATAAAAATGTCCTCATCGTTACTTTGATGATGTGAAAACTGGTTTGACAAGTCAAGAATTAATGAAGCAAAACTACAAAATACAACAAGGCTTCGTTTTAAAGAGTTTTTAGATATGTTTAATTTGTATCCACATTACATAAACTACTTTAATTATTAAGTTTTATAAAGTTGCTTTTGTTGCCATCACTACTTAAAATGCACCATATCACTACTATGGTATTATTTTAAGTACCATGTAAATAGCATGGTATGTGAATACAATAACCATCCAGTATCTATATCAAAATACTACAACTAACGTAGTGATACCATCATTGTACCAAGCTGTACTTTTCTGTAAGAGTTGTCAAAAGATGGGCCCAGCAGCAGCTAACAGGCTAACACATGACTTTATGTACTAATCGATTAACACAACGCTTTGATCAATATAACAGATATTATCACCACATACACATTAATCAAACGGCAGATGTCAGTGTTAGAAGAATATAGTTGTGATGATATAAACTTAATACATCACTGACATCACTCCATACATGGAGCTGTACAGCTAGCACACATTACATTAAAAGACAGTTAAAAACAGCCTAAAGAATATTAGATTTGAGTGACACGTGTTATTCTGAATATTTGGAGATATGGCGTTAAAAGATATTGTTCAATTAGTTGCATCTATAATTATACACATATAAATACACACACACATAGCTAACACATAGACATTAGCATGAACACGTCACTCACTTCCCAGGAACCTTGGCTGTGTTTCTCTTCCAGAACTGTTTTTTGTTGCCGTCACCTGACATCTTTTGGCTTCGGAGTAGTCGCTCATAAATTAATTCACAGAAATAAGCTGATAAGTTGTGCAAAATGTGCACGAAGAGTTTATTTACACCTCAATTTCTCTTCGCAAACTCAGAGAGCCGCCATTTTTGTACCGCCCACCGCACATTAGCACAGCTGTGATTGGTTATGGGGTCTCATGAGTGACTGCTGAACAGCCAATCACAAGTGGAAATTTCTGCATGCCTCCTTTAGTTCCCTCACAGGCCTGTTTGATATTGTCTGTGAAGGAATGTTTAATTTCTATAAAACACACGAGGATGTAACTAAATTAAACAATAAATATTACAAAACAACAAATCATGTGAATGATAAAGAAACGTCTAAAGAGTTTTGAATAAAAATATTATTATATATTTTGAAAATATATATATACCGCCATTTTTGTACCGCCCACCGCACATTAGCACAGCTGTGATTGGTTATGGGGTCTCATGAGTGACTGCTGAACAGCCAATCACAAGTGGAAATTTCTGCATGCCTCCTTTAGTTCCCTCACAGGCCTGTTTGATATTGTCTGTGAAGGAATGTTTAATTTCTATAAAACACACGAGGATGTAACTAAATTAAACAATAAATATTACAAAACAACAAATCATGTGAATGATAAAGAAACGTCTAAAGAGTTTTGAATAAAAATATTATTATATATTTTGAAAATATATATATATTTTTTAAATATAGCTGAGTTTCAAAATGTTGTTGAGATATGCCTTAAAGCGTAGCGTATGATCGCAGATTGTGCACTTATGTATGTGAAACTTAGCCAGGAGAAGTAGCCCAACAGATTTATAACACACACACACACACACACACACACATACACAAACCTTTTCAGTGTTTTTATCTAAAAACCGAGAGACCACAAAATCGGCTATATATCTAAAATAAATAAATGAATAATCCCAAAAATGTTTTTTATGTAATGACATTACTTGTAAGATACAACAAGGTATATACGTGGCAATAAAGCGCAATGTTGACGCATTGGTCACTTTTTTTCGATTAAAATGAATATGAAAGAGGAAACCTCCTATACCACTACTTTGGAGAACAAAGAAAAACTTCAGTTTTGCTTCTTCATGTCAATTAATTTATTGAAGTAATACTGCTTGCACTTAAAGGAGTGGTGATAGCTAATATGAAGAACATTATATTATATTATATTATTATATTATATTATATTATATTATATTATATTATATAATATTATATATTAGCCTATGTAACATAAGATGTACAGTATAAAAGTTCAATACGCTAAATATATGATGGAACAAAACGGCTCTATATTAGACATGTTAATGTTTCATAGCATATATTAATTTACATATGTCATGCAATATACGTCCGAGTGGCATAATATGTCATATATAATATAACTTTGTAAATAAATCGGTGCTGACGACCCCTAATTAACTAACAGTACCACAATAAATAAAAGCAAACAAAGAAAGGAAGTATGCCAATCGATAAAAGAAGAAGAAGAAGACAAGCGGGTGGCGGTAATGCCCCTTTTTGCGTTGGTGCCAGCCGCCGTTAAAAACCAAGAAGAAGAAGAAGAAGAAGTATGCCAATCAGTCACATCGCACCTCCTACAATAGGATTATGTGTGACGCATTTCTCTCAGGCTCCTCCCACTTTAACCGGGAAGAGAAAACCGCTATGTAGCAGAACTGCTTAGGAGAAAACGAGCAACATTGCAGCGACTGTAGTATTTGTTTACAATTATTTAAAGCGGCGGCCGGTATAGTATACACCCGTTTTGAAGATGAAAGTAAGATAACAAGTGTGTATTTGTTGTTAAGAGCAGAAATGGAGAAGCAGTCGCCTCTGTTGTGCTCTGAGCTGTGTGTTCAGCGTAGATTGTTTGAGGTCACATTAAACTTTGCGATTCTCGCGTGGAAAGACATACAAATCGCCAAAAAACACACCGGACGCGCCATATATGGAGCTGTCAAAGCGGGTGAGTTACATATCTAATACAATAACAACACTATAACATGTACAAAAAGGTGCGCTGCTGCTGTTGTTTGTTCACGTGCGTGTGTCTCAAAACTGACTGAGCTGCTTAAGAGCTGCTCCGATATGGCTAGGAACTAGCCGCTTTTAGGTGCTGCGTAATATCATTGCGCCTGCTGCACCCATGGTTCCTTAGTTCCTTGATTATTACGCCGGAATGAGAGTATAGTTCCTTGCCATATCGGCCTAGAAAATCGCTGATTAGAAAACGATAAAACTCAACTGTTTAACTCTAGGGGGGTTGGAAAATGAGCCTATTTTCAAAAAGAATGGAGTGTTCCTTTAAAGGGGAAATCCCTTTTAGCCTTTCATAAGAGTTTGTCACATGAAGTTCTGGGAAATGGTAGAAATAGTCCGTCAGTATGAATTTGTACTATTTATACTGTGGTTTTAATTAAATTATCTTTCTCTATGCAAATTGTTTATCCCAAACTTAATTACTTATGTATTTATTTAACCTTTGCCATTAAAATAGCTTTACATGCTGACATGGAATAAAACAACCAAATAAATACAGCATGGTTTTCTGTGTGATTTTTAATTTCTGACATCAAACAGAAAACTATAATCCTCTGCATTTGTTGATTTTAATGGAAGCAATTTCGTTTATACGACTCAGCCAATATCCAGTGTAAACATGGTGTAACTGTGTAATTTGCAATATGCAGATCAGATGTGAAAAAAGATGTGAAAATGCAACATATGGACTGGGATTGTTGTTTTAAACCGTAGCTACAGTATACTTGCATATGTTCTTGCAACATAAATTGTATATTTTGGTTTGTCTAATAAATAGAAAAAAAATTATAAATAAAATGTAAGTATTCACTGAATTAAAAAAAAATGAATTACTGCTATTTATGTCAGTAGACCCCATAACAAAAGATTTAGTTAATAAAAAAATAATAATAATAGGTAATGTAAATAATTACTAAAAATAAATATATAAACAAAGAATACATGCTGTGCTACCATAGAGTGTAGGCCAAAATATCATTTTGCCCCCGGTTTGGTTTGTTTTTTTTGTTTTGTTTTTTTATACCTGGGTAGGTAGCACATTAGGTTTTGGAAGTTTTGGACATGTTGAAGACAACACACCAAGCCATATTTGACTAAACTCGGTTTGTGAAATCCTGTAGTTCTACATGCATGCTAGTTTTGTGTAATGAAGTTAGTCTCATAACTATAACAATCCTCCCTTTTAATGTGGCACATTCTCATCAGATCTGAAGCTCAATTGCCTTTCTGCTTTATGTAGCATTATAAGTTTGAAGAGGAATGAGATGTGCAATTATTTGCTTTTTAAGTCATCACTCAGTTTAATTCAACTTTTTTTGTATAGTGCTTTTCACAGGAAATACTGTTTTAGAGCAGCTTCACAAAAGTTTATGTTTTGAATAGTACACTACAATCAGGAAGTAATCTTTTTAATTGATCAGAGTCGGAGATGAGTGTCCATAAGAGACGAGTATACAGCTATAAGATAATACAGGTTATATGGCTACTAGTTATTTAATTAGACATAATGAAGATGTTAGGTGATGATTACAGCTTGCGATCAGAATGATTACAATGCATGTTAATACATGCATTTATAGCATGTAGAGAGTATACAGCCTCAGATTGTTGCATCATTGAGCCATCTTTGGGAAGGAGTCATATGGTGTATTTGGCAAATACATTTTGGTGTATTTGTATTTGAAGAGAGAGCTGCGATATTATGGTCAAGGACCCCTGGAATGTCAACTATTGTTCAGTGGTATTTCCTGTATCCTCATTAAGTTTACTGCCTCTGTTTAATGTAGTTACTATACTTAACACATAAATGAGAGCAATCAGAACATTTTATGTAATCGAATGTGTGTGTGCATTGTTTTTTTAAATAATCACATACAGGGTGATTGTGGGAGAATTTTAGTTGAAATAAATGAAACGAGGCGAATAGATTGTAAATGATCGGATCAAAAGAATGTGTTTTGTTTATGGGGAAAATTGACAAAGTAAATACTCTCATTCTGTTTTCTCATTTTTAAACCAAATTATACTGTTGACGGCATTCATCAAACGTTCAACACTGTAATTCAGCCCTTTTTACAAATATATTGTTAATGATCAAATAACTATTTTTTTTTCTTGTATTCTTAAATTTATGGGAAACAAGTTCTATAACCCCAAAACAACATTTGGTGCAAAAAAATAAAGTTAGACGCTGTTAATTTAACTTGATTTAGGCTAAATATTCAACCTTAAACTAACTTCTAAACTATTTTATTTAAAATCCTTTAACCAAAGATTTCATTAATATATATATTTTTACATTAATATTTATTTTTTTACTTTGTGTAATTATTTAATATTTATCTCTTGACAAAATGTTTTAAATTATTCTGACCCAAATTTTGGCAATAGTGCTGCAAAAAATCGCAATAAAAGAGCACACATAATATGTAATATGTATTTTATGTTGGGTATTTTGCTGATACTAATATAAAAAAATAAATACAATTGTGCAGTCATGTTAACTGTTGTTCTGTGCATTTTCATAGGCAAAATCCAGTCATTTCAAAAGGAATCCAAGCGTTCAGGAATTTCATATCAGGGCAAAAGATTTACCCACGCAGATTTCGCAACAGGTTCAAGTTGCGAAATCTGGATCTGGATTGGATTTTGCCTATGAAAATTCACAGAACAGCAGTAAACAGATTTGCCGTGTTGACCAACAGAATACTGCTTGGTGAAGAATTTCAAACACTGTTTTCTACCCTGTACACTCCAAATACACTCCATGCACTGTGCCATTATTATTGTTGTTGTTGTTGTTATTATTAGTATTATTATTATTTGGTCAGATATTCTTAGTGGATGCTAAACTAAGAAAACTAAGAATAAATGCAACATGCATCTAAAGTCCCTTATGAACTCTATAACTCTACTGCTTCACCTTTACATTTCAGCTTTTTACCTCATGCAGTATTCATGCATTATACAATAACTCCCTAATACAAGTATCATGAAACTTTTATCAGGTTGATGTTTCCATGTTATTATGCTGTTAAGTTTATGGCTACATCTGGGCATATGAATGGTTTCATTAGGGTGTATAAAAATGAAATACACTTATGTCTCATAAATGTGTCCTGAAGTTTTAATGAAGATAAATCATTACTCTAGGTTTATCTGGGTATTAAGTAAAGTTTCTGAAGCTGTATTATTCTAATCCACATAACTCTCTGATCTTTTGAATAAGGTCAAACCTCATTAACTTTCTCTTCAGGGGTTTTCTGGAAAGCCTGCATTATGTAACATAACACGAGATTGACTAATTTGGGCACAAGCTGTCAGAATGCAAAAAAAAAAAAACTCTTGCTTAGAGCTATTTTCCCTAGCACAGAGACAGAGATGATGGAAACTTACATTTACATAGCGTCTTACTGCAAAGCAAACAAAATGAAGCAGTCGACTTCACCTGGAAATCCCAAAACTCACATTTTGCAAACTCAAGTCAAAAGCATTTTCAATAATAATTTACAAATTCGGGCATTATTGGAATTTTTTTTTTTATAAAAATCCAACACGGCAGATGATTTGAGAGAAATGTTGACTATAAACTTCTAAAAAGTAAAAGGCATCAATGACTGTAGTATCAGAGGTTTAAGGGGTGTACCAATTAATTTATTTATTCAGTGCATTGTCTAAAAATCCTTCCTCAGTTGAGCTTGAAATATGACATTTTTAATTGTAAATCATTTGTGTTGGATAACTCTAAATGCTTAAAATCAAGTGATTGTTTTTGACTGAGTTTTAATAAAATGTTTGAGATTGGTTTTGAAACTCACAGCCCCGTTTTCATTACCAAAAAAATGAAATATGACATCTTTAAATTGAATTAAAAATCACTGCATTGTGAATCCAATCAATTCATTGTCTCCTCTGTGACTTATTAGGTTCCATTTGAGTTATGTGAGGTGTTATGTTTCTCATGTTATGTGACCCACTGCTCTTCTATACACAGGTAGTCATTGTGTCCCAGTGTGTGAAATTATAGCCGTTCAGGAAAAAGAAGATGACTCTCCTTGTAAAGACACTGGGAAATGGCAGAAGGTTCCTCAGAGCCCAGCGGACTCATGCCAGCACGCTTTCACAGGTACACCATCATAATCAGACTGTCATCTGCTTATCTGGCCCCTGATAACAGGGGAATACATAGCTTGTTATTTTATCTATATGCTGTGAGTGTATTATCAGAACGATACTGATCATGCAGGTCACCTTTTACCTAGTTTTTGGAATAATGTGGCATTTTCATTTGTGTTTCTCTGCAGTGTTCTACGTAGAGAGGATGAGGCAGCACTGCTGGCAGTGCAGCAATGTGACTTTCCACTGCTCTGAACATTCCATGTGTCTGCTCTGGGTCCAAACTATTAGGGAACAACTTGCATTGTTGAGTGCGTCCTGAACCGTTTTATTATTATTATTATTAGTTTCTGTATCGGAAAAGTTTACTGTTGTAAAATAATCAATTAC